GGCTGCAGCAATCAGCGCAGCATCAGTGACCCGGATGGTGTTCGGCATGTTGTATCCCAATTTGTTGAAGTCAGTGGTAACGCATCTGAACGCGTCGCTGTGGTTGCGAACGAACAGCTCACACAGCGCCCTCCTAAGTGCAGCCTCTTCAGTGTCGTTGGCGATCCATGGGCTCATCGCACGCAGGATACCGCGGATGAAATCCGTCACATGGCTGCGTGCGAAGCCATTGAGCTTCTTGCTTCGCACGAAGAGGAAGTCGGCGAGGTACTCCTTGAGGATCTTGCGGCCGGCGGGCGTCTTGAGGTAGGCGTTAAGCGCTGGGTTGGCGAGGATGTCGTACGTGATGTAATCGCGAAAGGATTCTAATGTCGCAGTTTGTCAGTTTTGTATGTTACGTGTGCGGTTGATGTATTGTTAGGTACTTACTGCAGGTTCCTCGAGCCAACCACGCTGCTGGTATACCATGCTTCCTGGCTAGGGTATTGAAGACGCGCTGGACAATCTCTATGGGTAGATCGAGTAGCTGAAGCATGTTTGTAACGTGTTCAGCGGCTGAGATGTCGAGTTCGAGGTAGAGGTAGAAGTGATGTGCGTCGGATCCGGAGAGATATTTTATATCTGTGTGTTGGCCTGGGCGCGTTGGATAAGAGACACTGAAAGTGGAGTTGGACTGGCAATTGTCGCCCATTGCGCAATAATTCATCCTGCATTGCGCAATAACTCATCCTCCATTGCGCAATGTTTTTCCCGGACGGGCGCGTGAGATGACTAGCAGATCGCAAACGCCCGGCACCGTGACTGTTCATTCTGAACACTCATTTGAACTCGGCATCTCTCATTTGTAGGGGTTTCAGACTATCTTCAATTGAACCGTGCTGTGCATATCCTTCCCCAGGCTGAGGACATGTTGCATTCAATCTTGTTTTACAACCTTTTTGATACTAGTAGAGGGCTATACCAGACTTGGACCCTTTTTCGATGGTTCCCACTGGTTCGTATATCCATATGAATGTACGCATCCTGCCATTACTACCGTGTCTCTTACATTGACGGCGTGTTCTGGTTCACAATAAGATGAGATGAGATGGAAGGCCCCTGAGGACTCTGCTAGCCCATTGTGGCCCCTAGGAAGATCTTCCCGTACTTGACGCGTCCTGAGGATTCACGTTTGGTCGAAGCAAGATGAGATACGCCAGAGTTGACTGATGACGAGGAAGACAGAATGTTTAATGATGTATAGACTTGGAATTAGATGAAGGAAGGAATTGCAATGGGTGCGCACGAAGAGGTTTCGGGATTGAAGTTTGTAGTTTGATGAATTGGTAATGGCCATCCCATCTGAGACTTGAGCTTGAAGAAAACACTTCTACCATAACCAAAGACCTTACTTAGCCCTGTACTCCATTCCTCTCATGCGTCAACGGACGTCTTCGACAAACTTCCCAATCATAAGCCCGAGTATTCCTGAGTCCTGGTCGACGAAGACCCCGGGATCTCGCCTACATGAAGCCCATGCTCTTTTCTCGGTCGTCTTTCGAGAGACGTGGACGGTGACGTGGTCGGGGAGGGCGTTCTAGCCACAGGAGTGAAGGTGCGAGCTGAAGTTTGTAGTCGTGGCGCCTATCCGTGCACCGGTCAAGCACGGACGTTGGGGCCGACGTTGCCCCTACGCGCAGCTCTCCGCGATCCAAGACTGGCGTGTAGCCGGCAACCTCCTCGGCAGTCCCCTCGCCGCGCTACCACTACCTACGACTGCTGAGGACCACCCATGGCAGCGTCCCATTGAGCGATACGCTGTTGCTGTACCATGTTGAGATGCATCACAATGGCGCCGCGCTCCTCCTTGAACTGGTCATCGCTGTCGTTCCACAACTTGCCGATGGATTCGATATCAGCGCCATATGAACAGAGCGCGGCAACGATCTCGAGGCTATTACCCTGGACGGCGAGCCAGACAGGAAGATCGCAAGGCCGACATGTCGGTACCCCATCCGCGTGTGCTCCGTGGTGGAGGAGTGCGGTGACCGGATAAGGATGGCCCACACCCACGGCAACGGAAAGAAGACACCGGAAAGCGACCTTCTTCTCGAGGTATCCTTGGTTGAGATTCATGGAACGTTGCCTGAGGAAACCATCAACCACGGGCTTGCTGTTGGTCTTACAGATGAGCTTGAAGTTTGCGAAACGCTCGCGGAGGCCGGGCTCAGTGCGAAGGTGCAGCAACGTTACGGAGACGCGGTCGTCCGGATGTTTGGCCGCCATAGCAATCCAACTATTAAGCAAGAGCTTTGGGACCGCGGGGAAGTATCGGTGATATACATGGAGGAGCCGTACCGACATGTCTCCATTACCATGACGCAGGGTTGCAGCGATGGCGCCCCTAAAGGCTGCCTCATACTGCTCCAAGGGATGGGTACGGTAGTTCGTCACGAAGTAAGCCAAGAGGTATTCGACGACGTTGCGGTGACCACCACCTGCGGCTGCAGCGAGCGCAGACCCAAAGGTGTATGAGACGTCCCAGAGCCGATCGGAGCCGTACCAGTTGACAGTAGATTTGAGGGCATCGAGGTTACCAACTGCCGCTATAACAGCAAGCTTAACTGCCGCGCCGTTGTCGGTGAAGTATGGCAGCACACGTTGAAATGTCTTGCTCGACTTCCTGTAACTCGCCATCTCCCAAGCAGACTTGCACGCGATATTCAACTGCTTGCTTAGCATGAGCGCGGTCGCATACTCTTCTCCCGCGCTCACTACGTCAGTACTAATGAGCCAGCCTGCCCATAACTTGATGTACTTGGGAAGGGTGTCGCGCTCGCCGGTGAGTACACGCCCGTCCTCGCATGCCCGATTAGCGAGATGGGGTACGCGGACGCTCTTGAGTATGGCGCGGGTAGCGTTGGTCAGGGGGACAAAGGCCTCGATTGGCAGGTTTGCGATGGCGGCGTCGATGGCGGCCTTCCATGTCCCTGGAAAAGCGATGTCAGTTTGGCCGCTGTTATCATCCTTGTCTCTGCGTCACCTGGGGACTGGAGGAGAGTCTGGGCGACATGCATACATGCTCCGCCAGCTGAGAACTTACTGTCGATTCCGCGAAGCAGACTCAACTCTTCGAACCCGTAGGTGTAGATGAAGTCGCCGATGGTGATGTTGACCAACTCCGGGGGGAAATGAGGGACCGACATGATGATATACTGTCGTCGATGTCGCTCTGAAGCACCGTCTACTTTCGATGAGAAGAAAAGAGGAGGAAGTCGCGTGCGATCAGTGGCCTCAGTCCAAAATGTGGTGGGGTGCCCTCTCGCTTCAGGGAAAGCGTCCGACCGCAACGCGTCCAGGTATTCACTGATACCTCCTCTATCTACGAGACACTCGACCGACAGCGATGGCTCGGACCACCTTGTAAAACATTACTGATAGAATTACGAGGCTAGAGGGCGTCGGCGGTAATTTCAGGTCATATACGGGAAGCCTAGCCCCTACTGGCTGAACAGGACGCCCGTGATGCGTCACGCCAAATGCCCGCGATGCAGTGTGTTGCGTCGACACATCACCTGGAAGCTCTTTTTGAAGAGACGGAAGGTGATTTCGAGCCATATATATGGACCTTGAAGCCCGCAGAGAAGAAAGGACACGATATGGGACGACGACTATGCAGTGACTTGCGACGACGCTGCCCTCCGGAGAGAAGGCACCACGAGAGCGTCGCAATCAAACATTTTGCAGGCGATCTTTATGAAAGAACATGAAAGTCATGTCGAACCGTACATATGGGTCGCAAAATGCGAAAAGCAGAGAAAAGATGAAATGACGAGTGTGCAGTGACTTGCGATGATGTTGCGCCCTGATGAGGCTGCACCGGAACCGGAACAGACGACCTGTAAGGCTAAGGCGGCATTTTGGTGTCTAAGGTAGTGGGCGATGAAAAGAATCGAGTTTTAGAACTGGATAGCTGTTACACTGAGTCGTAGATGCCGGGGTCCAGGGACACAGCTTGATTGTGTGTATGGCGGCAGCATGCGCATATCTGAGAAGACGAATGCTAATAGACTATAAACACTGGGGTACTGTTATACGAACTTAGCTTGAACCAGGGGAAGGTGCGAGACCAAGTAGCTGCTATACTGAGCTGTGCATGTCGAGAACCAGATCTTGGGACGCACGATCTGCATATGCAGGTGATATGTTGGACAGAACGGAAGCAACTGAGTTTCAGATACTTCTGAAGGGAGATGTGACATCAGCATGAATGTAGCGCTTTGATGTCTCCTGTACATAGCGACCGGTCACCTATGCGCAAACCGACCAAGATGCCGTAAAGCTGAGCATGTAGGCCGAAGGGGTGGAGTAGGCATTCAGGTTGTGGTGCGTAACGGCATGGCTGGCATCAAATCGTATCGTGGATCATTACTCTGGTGCGAGGTCGTTGTGGCTTTCTGGTATCGATCGCAATGTTGGTGATGGCAATCATCGTGTTGAATCGAACGCGATCCCACAAACGTGAGCGTGCTGGCCGACGGGGTCGAGTAAGCACTGTGATCGCGATGCGTAATGGCATGACAGGCATAGAAACAAGATACGAATAGCTGCTTCGATGGCAGATTATTGTGGTCGTCTGGTGTTGGATGGGATGGAGGGTGAGATGTCGATGACAGAAGACATGTAGTTTCGCAAACCTCACTTCGTCAGGCTCTAGTGACGCACGTGGCGCTAGCGTGCCGCGGCTGCAGCAACGACGTCAACCAAGGCATGGACCCTGGATCACGCTGCAGCGTCGCTCTTTTGCTTTTGGCATTCAACGCGTCTCTCGCCCCGGTATTCAATAAACCCAAAGGACATCACGCGCATACACTCAGCTTGGGCCAGCAGAGCGACGCTATTGCCGCGAATACAGTGCACGCGACCGCGCCAGGCACCGGCCTAACACAAGACGGCCGCCTGCCGCCGCAACATCATCACCAGCTTTACTTTGCGGAACATTGACCGCATAAATCGCGATTATGGCGCCTCTCAAAATCTCTATACCGACGACGCAAGAGCAAACACCCGAAAACGGCAAAGCCTACACTTCCTACACCATCAAAATCGAACACCCCTTCCCACGCGCCGCAACCACCCTCCAAAAGCGCTACTCCGACTTCTCCGCCCTCGACTCGTCGCTCCGCTCAGAAGTCGGCGCCGCACCACCAGCGCCCCTCCCGCCCAAATCCTGGCTCGGCGGCTTCCTAGGCCTAGGCACCACGACAACCACGCCCGAAGCCATCGAGAAGCGACGAGTCGGGCTAGAAGCCTACCTGCGGGCGATAGAAAGCGCCGAAGACGGGCGCTGGCGCGTCTCCAGCGCCTACAAAAAGTTTCTGGAACTAGGAGAGAAAGATGGCGCGAACGGGAAAAGAGCGGCTGGGTTCCCAGGCAGCCAATTCGGCAAGGATAGAGTGAGGGATAGTTCAGACTGGCTGGACAAGCACTCGGAGCTTAAATCTAACTTGCAAGATGCGCGACGGTGGTTGACGAAACGCGAACAAGCTACCGCTGCAACGGCGCAGCATGAAGCCGCGGCCAACGCGAAGAAAAGCCTCGTTAGAGCCGGTACTCTCATCTCTGCGCTTGAGGAAGGGCTAAGCCGTCTCGGCGGCTCCAACAAAAAAACCTCCGACGACTGGTCCGCCGAGAAACTAGGCGACGGCGAGATCCGACGAAGAAAAGACATGATAAGCGGTCTTCGCAAGGAACGCGACGGCCTCGACTCCGTCCTCAACAGCATGGCCGTCAAAGCCGCAATCTCTGGTTCCGGCACCTCCTCCACCCCTTCCACCTCCTCCAGCGCCGCCGTCACCGAAAGCCAGAAAGCCGGACTCTTCAGTACATCCTCCAGAAACACCTCCTCCCACTCCTCATCTAAACATACCTCCTCCTCCCGCCGCGTCCTCGGCGGCCCGCCCGCCCAAGAAACAGACAAGACCCGCGAGTTGGATAACGAAGGCGTGCTGCAACTACAACAACAAATCATCCAAGAGCAAGACGAGGATCTGGTTGATCTCAGCACGGTGGTGCGCAGGATGAAGGAGATGGGTGTGCAGATTAATACGGAGATTGTGGAGCAGAATGCCTTGTTGGGCTTGTTTGAGGAGGATGTGGAGAGGGTGGATGGGAAGATTAGGATTGCGAAGAAGAGGGTTGATAAGATTAGGTAGGGGAGACTGGGGTGAGAGGGGAGGGTGTTTGGGTTTGCGGGTTGTAATATAGGCGTTGGTGTCAGGACGGCTTTTTGGTATCAGGAGTTTCTAAATGGGTCTGGGATGGATAATTTGAGTACGATACCCTTTCTTTGGATGGGAGGGTCAATGTGAATTTGAGATATGAGTACCAGTTGCGTATCCCCATCCGTCGAAGCAATGCATGAGCATACTACCGTCCTGTCTTCCGCCTATAACATGTCAAGTGATTGCAAACTCTCTCATACCATGTCCGCAAACGAAACCGTCCAAACCATACGATTAATGCGTAACCCAGCTCACGAAACGTTATGTCAGTATGCTCGGATCTTCTCATCCTCCCTGTCATCGCTCAAGCGACTCCCTCTCACTCCGCTGATTGCAAGGCTCTAAGATGTTCAGCCTTCTCCTCGAGTGAGATGGCAGGCTGAGGAACGTTGCGGGTAAAACCACCCCACTCAATGGAAACATTAGACACGTATTTCTGCGACGTACAGTTCATAGAAAGAAGCTTGAAAGGCTGCATTGCCTTAAAAGCCTACAAACAGGGGGTTTTAGGGCGATGTAGACTTCGAGGCACCAGTTCAGATGTCCCTTTGCATGGGATGAGAAGATCATTTGAACCATCACAAAAAGTTGTTATATTCGCATAGAAACAATGCATCATCGCTATCATCCATCCATCCATCCTCACAACAACATCCACCTAATCCGTACCATCACCCAACCGCATCGTACTCAAATTATCCGACCTTATCTTCAATATATGATCAACCGCCTCAATAAGATGCGGCACAAACTTCGCCGGATTTTCCGTCGCGGGGAAATGACCAAGATCCGGCATCGCCTTGTGCATCGCTCCGGGTATCTTGTCCGCCGTCTTCTGGCCCATCTCTGGGGTGTTGGACCAATCGTACTCGCCGGTCAACATGTATACGGGACAGTTCTGGGTATCGATCGAGGCTACGCGTGAACGTCCGTCCCAGCCTCCGAAGTAGAAGTCGAGGTCGCCGTGGAAGATCTGGGGACGGGTTAGAGGAGGGTGGGGTGGGGTGATGGGGGTGTGCTTACGCCGTAGGCTTGCGCGCTGTAGGTGTGCCATATGAGCTGCTTGTTCACATGAGGTGTGGTTGGAGACATCATCTACTGCGTGTCAGTAATGTTCTCTTGCTAGCTGACCTGTTTGACGTACGCCATAGATCCATTCAGGGTTAAATAGCGACTGGTTTACGACTGGAGAGCGGTCGTGCCATTGTCGCTCCATGTTGAGGTACTCAGAACTACAATCGTTAGCATCGCTACTTTGACCCCAATGTCTCACATACCCTTGCAACGGAATGACACCTGCAGCGCCGACCTCCCTATGGCGGATCGCGACTGCCAGACAAACTTGACCAGCCATGCTTGCGCCGCAAATGATCGGTCTTCGCAGACCCAGGGCCTTCACGAAAGCCGTGATGATGCCCACGTAGCTATCTTCGGTGTTTGTATGCGCGCCCGGGGAGTAGTTCTTCGAAGGGAAGCTGCGTCCATGTCCTGGCAAGTCGAATGCGTACATGATGCACTTCTTGCGCATCTTCGCGTCGTTCATGACACCGTGGTATTGCCGGCTATCGCTGCCAGCGGTATGCAGAAAGACGATGGGTTGCTTTCCTTCACCAGAGTACTCGTAGAAGGTTTTGCATCTACCCCATACTGGAGCTTCGAGGTACAGGTACTTGCCAGTAAGGAAATCGCGCTCGGGTTCGGCTTGCTCGTCCTCCTTCATCGGTCCACAGTGCGCGTCATGTGTGAGTTCGAGGACGCGCCTCCAGACATGTGTCCATTGTGCAAAGGCTGTCTGATCGCCCAGGACTTCAATGCCTTTCTGCTTGATGTTCATGCCAAACATTCCCCAATAACTCTGGTACGGCATCGCCGGAACTGCCTTGAAGTGCTGTTCCCATTGCTCGGGCAGAGCAGAGAGCGTGAACAAGGCATCTTTCGAAGAGCCGGTGCTAGCTTTTGCGCTGCCGTTGCTGACTGTGACAAGGAGGGTGTTGTCAGAACCGCTTGACTTGATGCCGAAAGTCACATCCTTGTCAATGGCATTCGAAGTCGTAAAGGCTTTGAGCTGTGCATCAGATTGGAGAAGCTTGGAAAGCTTGTCTAAGCTTCCTTTTAGAGCCGCGGTAAGATCAGACCAGTCAGACATGGTGGTTTGGAGCGTGCAATGACTCGTTACAACGCGACGAATGCGAGAACTCAACAGAGGAAAGAAATTAGATCAAGAGAGGCAGAGGAGGGCAGAAATGATGCGCAAGCATGCCGACGGCGCGCTCTACACATATAGTAACGCATAACCCCGGTATCGCCCAGAGCTAGCTATGGAACTATGGTGCCAGGAGGGGTAGAAGTAATGCGGGGTGCGGCACACGTGGGCGCATGTCTCGACTGTCGCTCGTCATGGTTCCGGTGAGCTCGCTGTTAACCCAGACCAAATTTGGGCGGCTAGCTGATGATGCATGCTATGAGGAGACGCGGGGAGTGTTGATCAAGCAAGCCGGACGCGCGCGAGACACGTTAACCCCACTAGCGCGGGCGCCAAGCTGCTGGCAGGGAAGGCGATCGTTCCCCGCAACGCTCCAAACCCACTTCCGAGCAAGCCTCAGTTATTACGAACCACATGCAAAGCCGCGGCCGTCACTTCATACCTCATCGCCTTAATCAGTTCTGCCCTGACGATAGATGTCGCAATCTCGAAATGATCAGCTGAAGATCATCGGCAAACCTCCTCTGGTCCGATTGCGGAGTGTTGGCTTACGGTATTTGAACGTCAGCCGAGGAAGTCCCATCTCAACAACGTCCATGTTTTGCACGTCTTCAGTGTCTCAGCAGACATTCGAAGTGTTGTTTTCTATAAGAAATGATGATTAACCTCGGCGCTCATTGAGGCTGCACAGCGGATAGCGGCAAATTCATTACAGCTCACTCAGGCCGATACTTCAGCCATCCACCGAACTGGCCCCTCATGCAACTACCCTGACTGCGCTCTCAACGGCTGTTATTCGACAGAATGGAAGCCCTTGTTGGCGACATTGCGTGTAGCACAATTTCACTTCCCCCAAGACAGAGCCTCATGTGTTACCAGCAAACACCCGTCTGTCCCCTATGACTTGCGGATTCCAGCATGACACCCTGAGCGTGACCTGCGCTACTTACGTATATAGACATTCAATCCACACAACGTTCTACGAACCGTCCAGCAAACTGCAAGGCATCAATCATACCGGGGTTTGACTCTCAACCAGAACAAGATGCGTCCCTCACGGCAAGCACTCATCGGTAACGTGCACGCTTCAGCGACCCCAGACATGTACGCCATCCAAGATGTGCCTGGAAAAGGTAAAGGCCTCATCGCGACTAGAGATATCCCCAAAGGTACAAGGATCATATCTGAGAAACCCGTCTTCGCGGTAGGAGAACCAGTTGAAACAGAACTAGCAGATCGGGTCACGTCTTTGAGCCAACATCACAGAGGCGAGTTTCTTTCCATGTCCAATATCCATCCTTTCAACGACTATGAGGCGCAATGGATCGGTATTTTGTACACAAACGCTCTACCCATCGGGTCAAAGCTAGAACTCAGTGGTATCTTCTCCACAGCATGCCGCATCAACCACGCGTGCGATAACAATGCCGCTCACTGCTGGCACGATGATTGCAACCGACTAACAGTACACGCTATACGGGATATCTCAAGGGGCGAAGAAATTACGATATCTTACCTAGGGGGCGCCTTCGATCGGAACGAGCGACAAGAGGAACTCCAGAGGCGGTTCCATTTCACCTGCACATGTCAACTCTGCTCGTTACTATCTCAGCAGCCCATCGAGAGTGACTTGATCCTGAATCGCATTAACGAAATCGACAACATCGTCTCAGACGAAGCGGGTCTCGGGCCGCGCGGCATCAACGAATCACCTGAGCAACTGCTCTGCCTCATCGAGGAAATGGTCCAGCTGTGGAAGCGACACGACCATAGCCCGAATCCAGTCGGTCTGGCTCATGCTTACTACCTCGCTTTCCAGATTGCGAAAGCGAGGGGTGATTTCGCTAGGGCCAGAGTGTTTGCAGATAGACTGATGCCTGTCCGCACGACTTTCATGGGTAAGGAAAGTCGCCATGTGAGCGAACACCGGCGGCTACGCCATGATCCTACGGTTTATAGATTTAGCGGTGTATCGATGCAGGGGCTCACGAACCTTGATGAAGTTCCGTTTGGACCTTGGTGGCATGATCTTGAAGCGTGGCTTTGGATGAGGGATCTTGGGGTAGATGAAGGGGTGAATGTTCACGATTGGCTTGATGATGTTTCTTAATCGATCTGACCGCGTTATCTTTTGCCCTGCTGCGCATCAACGTTTCCCCGTAGTAGGAATCATAGTAGATATTTATGCTCGAAGTAACGTGCCTAGACTCTTCTTTCCTGGTAACAGCGGGCACAATATCCCGATCCAGCGTTACCTATTCCGCCCGCTGACAGATGGGTACAACGTTACTTCCGTGAACCATACCGTTACCATCATCGCAAGCCGAGCACGCTGAACCACCGCTTCATCCCAGTGCGTTTCTCTGTACGCACAGTCTTCAAACTAATCATATCACTCACCACCCCTCCCCCGGCTCCCCCACCCCAAAACTCCATCTACAGCTAGCTGACGGCTCTCCCGGAACAACAGGATTCTGTGCACGTATGTTAATCAGCCTTCCTACTCTCCCCGGATCTGCCAAGACGGCTACAACGTTACATACGCCTTCTATGCAACAAGCCCAGCCGTGGGGATACAGCTCCACGGTGCAGTCTGTGACGTTTGCGACGGGTATGGGGTTGTTACAGGGTGGGCCGTGGGCGAGCAGTTCGGTGCAGCAGACGTCTATCCAGGTTGGGTCGATGGAGGTTTGGCAGAGGGTTAGGGGTGCGGAGGTTTGGGCGTTTAGGGGGGTGAGGAGGGCGAGGATGGGGAGGAGGATGGCGGGGGTGAGGGGGGTGAGAAGGGAGGGAACCGACATGTTTGGGTGGCTTGGTGGGGATGCAGGGGAGGGGGTAAAAGGATGGTAGAAGTAGGAGATGGTGATAATGGTTGTTATTTATATTCGAATTGAACAACATCCTCTTAGCCCCTCCAATACCTCCGGGTACAACATTCCAATCCAACGTTACCCATTCTCCCCGCTGACATCCTCCTACCGTTCACATGTACTCCAAACGAGTGACAGAGCCATGCAACGTACCACTCATCCGTCATCCATCATCCGTCATACACCACCTCGCCAGAAGTGTGCTGTGTAATACATCCCACAATCAAGCGTTCTTCGTCGCAGCAACAGCCTTAGCCATAGTCTCACCCATCGCGTTGGAACTGAAGTAATCCCAGTACACCTGCTCTAGATCCTCAAGGGTCATGTACTCAGACACGATGCCACTGGGCCCGTGGCCGAAGAGAGGGCCAGATGAGGGATAAGCGGGTTCCTGGAACTGTTGTTAACATCAAACCCATCACTTTCTTCCCCTCTCTTCTCCGCCCGACCAGGATTCCTTAGAATTAGTGGGGAAGTCCTTACCTTCTCAACACAAACAGCCCATCCCGTAGGGTAATGATACGTAGAGCACTCGGTCAAGTTGCTCACATATTCGATGTCAGTGCAAGGTGCGTTGACCCCGCGACTGATGACGGTGTGGCAGCAAGCGTCGGTGTAGTCGGTGCCGTAGAGGAATCCGCAGATTGTGTCGTCCGGGCCCATCTGAGCGGTGGTCAGGAGGGGGAGGGATGCTGCGAGAGCGATGATAGGGGCGGTGAAGCGCATTTTCTGCGGTTGCTGGTTGTTGGCTTGTGGGAATGGTGGGATAGTGGTCGTGTTAAATGTGGCGGAAGGTGGGATACGGGGTTCTTTATGGGTATTCATGTAGTGACAGAGATCTAGTGGTTGTGTAGTAGAGATCAAGATGCGCTCGTTGAGGACGTTTTGGTAACATGGATGCGGCATCCCGTCTTCTTTCCTTCCGTATGGCAGGAATGTATATCCGTGAGTTTTCCTCGGATGGACATGGAAGTCTGCATCGTCGTATGCTTCTGAAATGATTTTGAGCAACGGAAGCAGAATGACATTTTCGTGTGACGTTAGCAGACTGACCGGACGGAAAAAACTTAGGAAACGGTATGATAGTCCCCAGTGCCGATGATGTCGGGGTCTTGCATATGTCGTGGACTCAGATGACATGTCAAGGTTTCCTAATCTGTTGAAATCTTCGCGGATGGTGTCTGTTGCTTTCCGTACCGTCGTACCCATGTCCACCGTCGCACAATCTTATCAGCAGACCCTTCAAGAACACAGTTTCAATCTCAGCTTCAAACAAACTCATAAACATCGTGTATTGAACAATAGGAAGCTAAACTCCCTAGAAAGATGGTATCCTCGCTTCCAAATGCAATCATGACCATACCCACCTTTAGAACACTTCACTCTCCTCCGAAAACTCAGCAGACTGCGCAGTAACAACTCGAGTAGTGGGCTCAGAGACAAACACAAAAGTGCTTGAAAGATTGGCAATGGGCACCGCACACGGTGTATACTTCACAGGCTTTGCGGATGCGAGGGTTTTGGAAGGTCCAGTACTTTCAGCGTGTTCTGTAGGTCCATCGAGCCCCGCAGATCGACAAGTCTTCGTACGTTTGGCCGCTTCCAATAACATATGCGCAGCGGAAATGATGTTGTCAAGCTGCACGTCTGAACTGGCTGTCGGAGCATCAGAAAGAGTATCGACGCTCGGCTAGAACGTCTCCTCCTCCGCACCCTCGCCCTCAGCCTCTGGTGGGATCTCGAAGCCCTCTTCGGTGGAGTAGAGAATGTTTTGGATCTGCTTGAGCAACCCCTCATCCTTCTCGAGCTCGGGGTCGGCCTCCATTGCTTGCTGGATCAGCAATTCAATGTCGCGCAGCTTGCTGAAGTAAAAGTCCCTCTCGCGCTCGAGGCCCGTGACAGTCTCCTTCAGAGCACTGTTCTCCTCGCGCAGAGCGGCGCTGGCGGCTCCTCCCCCAGAGGCAAGCGGTGTGCGTGTCCTAGGCGCAGCCGTGTTGCTAGCAGCTGGTGCTCTTCGGGCAGTCGATGCTGCGGCGCGGGGTGCAGGTGTGGCTCCGGTCGCGACACCGCCCTGGCCCTTGCGACGGGCGACGGGGTCGTATTCGTGGCCGGGGAAATGCTGGTCCCAGTACTGCTTGACGAATTGGAGGAACTCGAGGTTGTCCTGCATCTTGCACTTTACGAGCGACTCGACGCGGATGGGCTTGTCGACATGGTGCTTGGCGAACGTGTCTGCATTGTTAGCGGAGAATTTGGACGGTGGGAAGGGAGACGTACTCTGTAATACCTTGAAATTCTGCAGGTATGCGTACTCAGTGTTCGCATTGAACTTGACTCGCGACATGGGCACATCGTCTGCACGCTGTTAGTCTTAATCTCATCCGCGCCTAGGTGAGGTGAAGGACTTACAGAATATGCTGTCGAAGACTTGGCACAGCGCTGCTCTGTCCGCCATGTCAGTACACATCCTCACGCCTCGAGGCCAGGGGTGCCCCTCTATCCTCGGCGCGCGCAACGTACCCGGTACCGCATTGTTCGACTTTGGTGATGTTGAGCTGGAGGAGGTTGTTCAACCAGGCGACGAGTTCTTGTCTGTTCACGTGGCGCTGTCAGCGTGTGGTCGTGGTGAAGGTGTCTGCGCAGATGGCCGCAGCCTAACCCCTCGGGCCCGGTGCCTACCTTGATTCTCCCATGGCGGCTATCTATGTGCAGGCGTCTAAGGGTTTGTTTTGGGCGATCAGCGACGAGATAAAAGCATGCAGCCCGGAATGTCCGTGGTGAAGGGGTGGCGTTGCAGGCGGTGGGCGTGAGTGCTGTTATTTGTTGATGCGCCTTCGAGTCGGGGAGTTGACAATTTGGGCGCCGCTGCCCCACGCTGGAGATTTTAGCGTCAGGTCATGGCGCTAGCGTCACGTGCAATCGTCTCGCCTGGTCGCGATTGCCCTACGAAGCATCCAGAACTACACTTCATCACGCATTCGTGGATGGTGGTTCTATGATATGGGTCTTGACTACACAGTCTCACACCTTGCCGTCCCCTGAAATTGTCACCATCTACCCAGCGAACTCCCTCTCAATCATAGCGACTGCTGTGCCCCTATCTGCCCTCACCGCTTCAAAAGCCTTGACAACCGCCGGGAACCATACATTCGCCATCTTGACATCCCCACTATCATTCGGATGTATTCCATCTCTCAAGTCCGCCGTGCCACTGAAACCCGCATACTGGTCCACAACCCAGATGGGGCTTTCCGTCGTGTTGAGACCCTGAGCCCATGGAACGATTGCGCGATTCAGGTCTTGGATGTTGGTATTGTAGCTACCGAAGCCCATGGGGATGATTTGCGCGACCTGCGAAGGTGAGTGAATAAGCGATTGGTATACAACGAGACCACCCAATGTTACTCGCGAAAAGACTTCAGGCTCGAGCGCGAAGCCCAGAAGTATGCTACGCGATGAGACGGCGTCTGTACAACAGCGCAACCTCGCAACCTCACACAGGCAAGTACAAAAAAGAACAAACTCACCACAATCTTCATCCTCGGATTCGCCCCCCTCATACTCCCCACCAACGTCCCAAACGCCTTAATAATATCCGCCACCGCCTTATTCTGCTGCACAATGTCATTCGTGCCAAGATGCATCGTAATCACATCCGCAGGATTGCTTTTCAGCCACCCATCCAACTGGCCCTTGTTTGCGATATCGATAGCGAGGAAACCAGAGTGGCCTTCGTTGTCGCGGTCGTAGGACGTGTCCGCGCAGTTGTTCTCGGTCTTGCCGCTGCCGACGAAGTCGACGGTGGAGGAGTTGAAGGGCGTGGTTTGGAGGCGTTGCCAGAGTTTGGAGCGCCAGCAGATTATCTCGGTTATGGAGTCGCCGAAAGGCATGTAGCGGATTGTGGGGTTGGTGGTTTGTGCGGCTGTCGTCGTGAACAGGCCGGCGAGGGAGAGGAGTTTGAGGGTCAACATCGTGGTGATTGCGATTTTGTGGAGGTACGTGTGTATCTGCGCAAAGCTGTGTGTATGCTTTGCTTGCATGTTGGTATTGGCCACGAGTGGCTGGCCGTTTTATGTGGTCTTCATGGTATTGACCTGGCGACATCTCATCTATCGCACTGTATGCGACCTCTCACGACATATGACCATGACGCCTGAGGCACTCTAGACGCAAATGAGGGTCGCGGAGAGAAGGAAATCTTTAGTGATGCGGACGACATCTGGTGTGAATAGGTGTTACTATACCGAAGGCTAAATGCAGCTGCCGGATGATCGCTAATATACGCAGAATATGCACGCTCGGAGAAAAGGCAAGAATGCGGGGAAGTCATTGCAGACTACTGAGCGCGTCGTCGATGTATCAGGTATATTGTTTCGAGTGGTCTTTGGTGTTCAGACGTTACGCGATCTCGTCGAGCGGCTCTGGTTTTCGGCATCCATCTGATAAGTTCAAAGTGAAAGTCAATAACACTTGCGGAAGACCCTCCGAAACTCAAAGGGTCTTTTTCCAGAGGGACAGGTACCCGCTAGCCCTGATGGTAGCACGGACGAAAATGTCAGAACTGAAGAAGTAGGTACATGCGACGACTGGGAGAGTTGGCCAAAGCATACCGCTCGAATCTCGACGGAAGGAGAACTGCTCACCGCCTCTGACTTTCCCAAAGACTCAAGTCGCCGAACGTGGTGTTCAGAAGGAGAAGGTGGAGTGCTCGTTGATGAGATTCGACCGTGGCGTAGATGAAGACACGCCGTCACGCCGAGCGATATGCGATGACCACAACGACACATAGAGATGTACCTTCCTCATGTCGACCATGACTAAGGAAGTCGCAATCATGACTGTACAGCACTTTGACGATGTACGAGGAGATGAACTACCCGCCATGAGCTTCCACCAACCACAGCCTTCCAGTTGTCAGCCTAGCTCTTCTTCTGGCAGCTTCACTCCCAATACACTTTAAGCCTGAGGCGCAGCAATCTGTGAATTTGGAATCGCAGGCATCGTATGATGCTCATTGCTCGCTACCGCTACCGCCGGATGTTACTCCTTAGCGGACGGTAATACCCCAGATTTCTGCTCGGCCCTTTCCCGACCGACATACGCTGCCGGGGGGTTGATTGGCTGGGTGAGTAAGAAACTTGGAAGTGGCAGTGCAAGAGATAACACGTGATTGCTGCAAAATTGTTGTGATGAGGAAAAGGGCCTTTGTCGGTGCAAGGAGAGGAGAACAACCGAATCGAAAAACACACTGATCGTGAAATGCACGCGAGAAGAGAGACGTGCACAAGAGCACAAACTGCGAGGAGACGGCGAGGTACGCGGAGGTGAGACGATTGATGTGAAAGATTGGGGCGGCGGGTGCGACAACTCACTATCGGCCCTCACACTTAACTCCGAAGGCTCTCGCGATCGAGCAACCCCGCAACAAGATGTCGATAACTCATCATCGACGTATGCTGAGAGAAAGCAGCTAGCTTGGCATTGTGATGCCTCGGTGATTCCCAGCAGAAGACGCCGATGGTGTTGATTTTACTTCCTGGAATCCAAGGTTTCGCGCTCCGAGCTGACGCGGTCCTTCAGGGCTGAGGCTGCCACGCTTGTAAGCCACCAGCCTGCGCCTATCGAGACATGAACAGCGCCACGTGAAACCGACCGGACTTCATGCAGCTGCAGTGCGATGGTCCCAAAGTAGAAGGCAATTCCATGCAGTGGTAATAATGTCGCGTATACACCGTAATATGAGAAACAGGCCGAATCTCCGATGGGGAATTCGACTAGGCCGATGACCGAGGGCTGACGGTGACGAGCACAGCCTGGACAGCATGTTCCTGTAAGAGTGTGCCCAGCTCGAGGATGAAGTCATGGGAGTCTGGATCTCGACGCATGTTGCTGACATGTCTTGGAATTGCGGTCGCTGGAATTGGGTGTTGGGAGATCCAAGGCGAGGGACGTGCGGGACAGGCAGGGCCCACAAGAGCGGGCACCAAGACCGCGACCGTCGAGACCACACCTGTTCCCAACCTTACGTGAACTGACATGCCCGCCGTTCCCAGCGTGCCCCCGCGCCGGGACATTACTTTTGCAAAATAGCTGGCGTGTCATTCGTCCGGATGCAACTTACTTGTTTGGCCCTGCACATAGCCACCACGACGCGTCCAGCCAAGCCGCGCCGAACGTTGAGTCCGCTGGCCCTCACTGGTACCACCTATCTGCACCAGACCCTGCACCATGTAGAGGCGGGAGATCTCACTTGTTATCGCGGCCCTCTGGCGTTCGTGACGCGTACTGCTTGCACAAGTTGTGTTGTCATATCGCGAGGTCCTCACGGTGTTTTGCTATGCCCAGCCGGTGACTGACGGCTCTCCGCAAAGCCGCCGCATTCGGCCAGGCTTGTCCAACCACACATCAGCAGTAATACCGTTGGGTTCACCTGTGCCTGCGAGGTACCTACCTCCACCAAACTAAGCCAGGTTGCGTGTACGTAGCCATGCTTCTGTCAGCATCTCTCTTGGGGGCTTGGAGCTGTATCTTGGAAGGCGGGTGATCCGGGCTCCACCATCTATAAACCTCTTTGTCCTCTGCTGCCGAATCACTATCGAACTGGACATCCCTTACTCACCTCAAGACATCTTCTCCTATTGGTTTGGCTACTTGAACTCAGATCAATAGCTTCGTGATCGCCTCTAGAGACGACGCCATCAAGCCACGCTTTCAGCTAGGCGCTGTCTACTAGCCTTAAACATCGAGCCCTTTGGCAACCTCGAGTGTTCAGCATCATTCAACGACCTTTCAGTTTCAGAACACAAGAGATGAAGCGCACAACAAGTTCGGTCATAGGCCTCTTGGCTCTGGGTAAGCCCCCAACAACAGCCTTATCTTACCACGGTGCTAACTCTATCTAGCCTCCCAAGCCACAGCGCAAGTAGCCAGTGTCTGCCCTTCTACCGGTGTATGCTATGGTCTCAACATACCCGAGCGCACAGCATCATCAGGATCAGGAGACATCTTCTTCCAGATATCAGCCCCAAGCAACTATGAGTGGGTTGCGCTCGGTCAAGGTAGTGGCATGCCCAACTCCAACATCTTCGTTGTGTACACTTCAGGATCTGGAAACAATGTCACATTATCGCCGCGATCGACTAGCAGTTACCAGCCTCCCAGCCCCAACGATGCTGCTCAAGTCACTCTGCTTGAAGGATCTGGCGTGTCAAACGGTGTCATGACCGCGAACGTGAGATGTAAGACTGATAATCACCACGACATCAACGCAAACTAACACGTGACGCAGGCTCAAACTGCAACTCCTGGTCTGGCGGTACCATGGACTTCACCAGAAACAGCGGGAGCTGGATCTTCGCCTACCAATCCTCCGGTGGACCCAAGAACGACGACTCCACCTCTGCGCAAATCGACCAGCACTCCAACCAAGGTGTTTTCGACTGGCAGTTTGCCCAAGCAAAGGGCGGTTCAAGTGTAAATCCCCTCGTCAACACCTCACCAACCGGCACAACAGGCGGCGCGACACCAACCAACTGCCGCCAGCGCCCCTCCGGCGCCGCAGCATCAGGAAATTCGAAGCCAAGCCAGACGAGCAGCAACAACGACGACGACGACGATGACGACAACTACGGCCGCCCAACCTCTCGTCCTACATCGCGTCCCAACGGCCCCCCAGGAGACAAACGCTCCCCCTCCCCCGACAAGGGCGGCAAGGACGACGACGACGACCTCCCCTACTGCGACACCCTCCCCAACGGCGGCGCCACAGGCGGAAACTCCGTGCAAACCATCAGCTCCGGCGCGTCGGTCAGCCCCTCCAAGAAACGCACCATGCTAATCGCACACGGCGTCCTCGCCTCCCTCGCCTTCGTCATCCTCTTCCCCTCCGGCGCCATCGCCATCCGCCTCGCATCTTTCCCAGGCATCGTGTGGCTGCACGCTGGCTTCCAGATCTTGGCCTACATGGTATACATCGCGGCATTCGGAATGGGTATCTGGCTCGCGCTCCCTGTCAGCGGGGGTCACTACATCTCCAGCTACCACGCCATCATCGGTATCTTGGTGTTCTGCCTCGTCTTCTTCATGCCTTTCCTCGGAACCCTACATCACATCTTATTCAAGAAGACGCAGCGTCGCACTCTTACTTCTTACGCGCATATCTGGGTTGGCCGTGTTGCTATTACCCTCGGTATGATCAACGGCGGATTGGGATTGTTGCTCGCGGATAACTCGCGCGATGGCGCGATGGCGTACGGTGTTATTGCGGCGGTTATGTGGCTAGTTTGGGTTGCGGCTATGGTGTTTGGTGAGGCTAGGAGGAAGAAGGCGGTTAGGGCGAAGAACGCGCAGAGGACGGATAAGGTGCAGGAGGAGAGGAGGGAGAGCGATAGGAGTACGGAGGATGTGGAGTTGGCGGGACATTATAGGCCGGCTAAGGGTCAGCAGTAGGGGGTTTGTTGGTTGAAGACTTGGTGGAGATGTTGTGAGCGGGTATGCGCTGAGTATGAGAGGGGGGTGTATATAAGTGTAGTTGACGTTTCCTTTGTTGTTAGAGAAGATGATGAACACGTTCAAATATCTACCCATCCATTCACATCTTTTCTTCCTCCTCACTGATATTACCGTCTACCCATCCCACCCAAAACCCGACTCGCAGCCTTACTAACCTTAATCACATCCCTATACGTCAAGCTCACCCTCGTTCCCCTCACGTTCCTGCCCCCATTCTCTTCAACCGCCCTTTTCCCTTCTTCACTCAACAACTCCCAATTCGCAACCGTCTCGGCGTTCAAATCTTCATCGATGTTTATGGAAGAAATTCCATGCATGAGGTCTCTGTATGCGCGCCCCGTGGTGATGAGAAGAGAGCGGGGTTCTTGGAAGATGCGGGTTGGGAGGGGGAGTTTGTTTTCTTTGGTTTCCTGCTCCTCTCCGTCTGCGTTCAGAGACTGAGACTGTCCTTCATCTTCGCCATCTTTCTTCTCCCTCTTATCTCCTTGATCGTTAGGCGCAGGCTTCGGTAAAACATCCAAGCACAGCGCCCCTCCCAGACTAACCGTCGCAACGACCTCAGCATACGCCCCACCATCTTCATGCGGCATAATGCCCTCACCGGGTTTATACTCATTGACAAGAACGTGATTGGGTTGGCCATGTGGCGTGTGCGCGAAGATACCCAAATCTTGGAAGCGGGGTAAGATTGGTGTGGTTAGGTACGTGGGTAGAGGGGCGGCGAGGAGCGTGTTGTTGGATGTGAGTGTTGAGGGGAGGGCTTGGAGACGGCGGTGCGTGAGGTGGGTCCATCTTTGGGCTGGTATCTATGGAGAGGGGAGGGTTAGTTGATGTCAAGGTGGATTATGAGCAGGCATGGGGTGAGACGTGGATGTCATGCGCGGTGATTGTATGTGGGGAAAGACGTGGTAAGCGGGGTAAGTAAACTCCCCATGTGCAACGCGATATCCGAATCTGTAGACTAGATCAGAGGTGGGAAGAGAACATACCTTATGCAAAATCGACGCTTCCTCCTCGTGACTTATGAAGTTGGGGATATAGTAGAAATCCGGTGGCAGACCCGCGATGCGGAAAGCCTGCAGGCCCGTCTTGTCATCTATGGGTAGAGAGCACATAATTGTTGCTCGAAAATGTGAGTTTGCAATAGGATTTGGCGGCCCCGCTAATTAGTGGCAATGTGTTGATGTTGTGTGATGGACATGGGTCGAAGAATGATGTAATGCAGCTACCTAGCAAACAACCTTGAACGCGCCTCCGCCAGTTCGAGCTAGTCACGCGCTCACGTGCGGACGCTGCTCTCTAAATCACACAACCTATTGGAGTGCGATATGATTACATGGAAATCGATGTGTTGAACAAGCATGGAGATTCACTGGATCTTCGTCCTGTATGCGGCATATGCTGTCCTATAAATGTCGAAGAGTAACCAGCCTCGGACTCCAAACATCCCAGGCCAAAGCATCGTTGAGATCTAATGTTCGCGCTCGTAAAACAAAACCTTAGACTCATGTTCATCATACTCATGCCATAACCGACATCACAGCATCAGCCCACAAACCTGGGGCCAACTACCATCTCCAAAGAAAACGCCAAAAGCCTGCGGTGGAGATGCACTCAACACCAAAATCCACCCAACCCCATCAATCCACAATCACATCACAGCACACCCGCCAGGGCCACTTCTCGCGCGGCGTCTCCTCCCGCCCCCACCCGTAGCCCCAGCCCCAGCCTCCTCCTCATCCGCATGCATCATCTGCGCCTCTCTCGCCCTCCTCCTCCTACGCCGCGCACCCGCCCCACCAACCCCCGCCTCCTCATTCAACATCATCCAATCCGCCCACTTGCGCTCCAGCCTCGCCGCAGCCGCAAAGTCACCCCTCAGAACACGTTTAGTATGTTCCTCAACAGTCGGCTGCCAATTGTGGAAGCACTTGAGTTTGATGATTTCACTTGGGTACGTCGCTACTTTACTCGCGGACCGCGAATTCGGTCTTGTGATCTCCGCATTTCGAGATAGGACTTCGCGGACGCCAGTCCAGGTCACGTTTGCGCAGTCGTAGGCTTCGATGCGGAGGCCTACTTCGGGGCGTTCGAGGTTTGTGAGGCCGCGGGCAAGACGGTTGCGGTTGCGCAGGCCGGAGGCGGCTTCGGCGAGGACGAGGTCCGAGATGCGTGTGTTGTCCATTTCGAGGGAGGCGAGACGGGTGCAGGCTTTTAGGACGGGGAGCATGCCGACGTCGCCGAGGTTTTCGCAGTACGAGATGCAGAGGTGGCGGAGGTGGGGGGCGCAGGCGGACTCGGATAGAGTCTTTAGGACGTCGTTTGTTAGGTTGTCGATTTCTTCGATGTCTAGGTGGGTGAGGACGGGGACGGTGGGGAGTAGACTGGTCAAGGCATCGTCGGTCAAGCCGCCGCATTTCGAGACTTGAAGACCTTCTAGATACGGGACGTTGTGTACCAATGTCTTCAGGCCAGTGTCCGTGATGCTGCGGCAGCGCGTAAGGTTTAGGTGCTTGAGATTCCTCGGTGGAACGATGGGGCGATCGGTAAGAACATCAACCTCTTCGTCCACGCCCTCGATCAAAGCAGCCAGTGCTTCGTCATTGAGACTGTCGCAGTTCTTCAAGTCGAGCCTTTCGAGAGTATTGCGCTTGAACAGTGCGACCATCAGCTCGACATCGTCCCAGCCTCGCACCTCGCCTGCCCTGAGATCGCGCAGCTTCGTGCATCCCTCAACAACTTTCTTCAGCCCTCGGTTGTCGATGTTGTTGCACCATGAGATGTTCAAGACTTCGACTCTTGGGCAATGTGCAGCAAGGATCTTCATCGCCGCGTTTGTCGCGCCCGCAAGACCCGAGAGGTTGACGTGAACAAGGCGACTGTTCTGGAGCAAGAAGCAGTGGATAGATGTCCGGTCAATCCGGCAGCCCTGAAGCGAGAAGTTCTCCAGGTTCTGGCAGGACTCAATGAAGCCATCCTTGCCCCAGTGTTCTCTCAGCTGTACGCAGCCTCTGAGGTTCAAGTCTTTCACGAAGGGGCCCGCCGATGTGATGATGTTGACCAATGCGTTGGCGGAGATGTCGCGGTAGAACTTGCTAGTATCCAAGTCACTCCACAGTTGACCGTCAAAGCACATTGTATGCCACGACTTGGAGACGCGCGAACAACGCACAACTTCCTTCGGCTCGAGGTATCTCAGGATCTGCATGCGAATCTCCGTTGGCATATCGCTCCAGAAGTTGAAGTTTGCCCGCTTCTGGACCTTGTGAACGGGTCGCGAGAAGTAGTCGTTCTCGGCTTCGATGCCATCTCTAGTGTATGGCCGTCGGGCGGAAGGAAGAGGCACCGAGGACGGGATATCTGGTGTCTTCATCCGCAGACGGGTTCTCTCGTCCCAGAAAGGAGTGCCGGGTGGGCTGTTGGCGACGGAGGTAGGTGCTGTAGAGAAGCCATTCGACAGTTCAGAGGAATAGGAACTGCCAAATGAGTTTCCATAAGGTGAGCCAGGCGATGCGAGGGAGACGCAAGACATGGATGCCTTTCCACCGCTTCTCAGACTGTGAGAGCGGGGTCTACCCAAGTTTGCCAGACTCGAGGACGAGCCCATCCTTTGTAGGCCCATGAGAAGGCGCTGTCTGCCCTTGAGCTTTGGCTGCTCGATCATGATGGCGTCTGATGGAGGGGTTCCCGGCGCGGGACGCATTTCGCTGTGGTCGACGACCACGGAGTCGATGGACAAAGGCTCCATGGTGAAGCGTGGCTGTGCGGTACGCGTGCTCGGCGACAAGCGGGACGGGGCGGGGAAGGTGGAGGATCAAAGAAGTCGAAGACCGAGGGGGGATATCGTCACGTCTATTGGAACAAGATGGCAGGATGAGAAGGTGGGAACAGCCCCGTACCAGCGAAAAGGAACGAACGTAAGAGGAGCTGACGCTGACCCGGTGGTTGGGTGCGCGGTTTTTGATAGCTGAGCGGATGGCGGAACGCGCAGTTCAGTGCAGTCTAGAAAGGCGGGGATATGGCCCGTGTTATGCGGCGAGCCAGAGGCCGATCAATAGCCTTTCGGTTCAAGAAGGGTTCTTGGCCGTTGGCTGACAAGGCGAGCAGGCATCATTTGAGGGCATCTGGGTGCGATGCTTATGGTGTGCGACCAAGTGACGCGAAGGATGCCAGCAGCAGCGACGTGCAGCGACTTCATGTGCAGCGAGTTGCTGTTGTCCAATGTCTTATCGTTGCTATCGCGTAGATCCGGAAGGCCCGATTGGGGGCGCGCCACGTGCGGCCTCCAATGTCACCAGCGCACCTCGGAAGAGAGACATTGGTCGCTTGACCGTTGGAACAGTGTCGCGTGAGCTGATAAGAGCCTTGGATTACAGGCATCTCATTCATCTTGCGAGATGAACGTTTTCTTCAGATTCAAGATATGAAGACAAAGGCATCGGCATTCAGGGTCAGGTCTCCAACCTGCAGTTGGTGTTATGCAGGGTCAACCAGCAGCAGCCTTTTTGCGTCTAGCCGACATCCACGACCCGCCACTGGTACAAATTCCGCCAATCTGGATGCCTTCTAGATGCAGAGGCTCCGCCTTGGAACTTTTCGCCCCAGACGCCAGGCAAAATACGTCCTTGGGCCCAACGGCACATGGACCATTCAGCCGGGCTTCTCCATGTTTCCTGACAGGCGGGTGATGATTGCACCAAGCATGTTGTAGCTGTTGTCCATTAGGTTTGACAACAAGAGTTCGTTGACCTTAGCGTAAAGATTTTAACGTAAAGACCTGGGATAGTGTTTGCATCTAGAACTGCTGCAGATCTAGTGGATACAGACTTGCGCTGTGCTCAGGATATCAATCCCCAGGGCCAAGTCACGATACTGCAGCATGTTGTAGACCCGGATACAACCCCCCTCCCATCCCTATCCCACTATGCCGCCGTCTCCCCCGTACAATACTTCAAAAACTTGCCATGCGCCCCCGGCCAATTCTCCTCACACTTCGCCTTGACCGTCCCCACCAACATCCTATTCGCCCTAATCTCCACATCCTCCACCAGACTCCACTCGCATCCCTCAGCCCCCTCTCTATCTCCCTCACTCAACCCCTCCGTCTTCAAACACCGCCACGTAGTTTGCTGTGTAAGCCCCAGCGGCGCCTTGATCGTCCATAATACGCCGTCGTCGAGATCAGTCATGTGTGCGTCGAACTTGACGGTTGTGTCCCAGAGGCCGGCGGGCAGCGCGTTCATGTGGTCGGTTATGCGGTAGCATTTTGCGTCTGGGGTGGAGGGGTCGCTGGGGAGGTCTTCGTGCGAGGCGTATTCGGGGTCGAGGCGGATGAGGAGGACGTGGTTGTGGAGGTGGGAGACGGCTGTCGCGAAGGAGACGGAGCGGGGAAGGTGCGTTACGTGGTGGAGGGTTGCGGTTGTGTTTAGAGCTGGGGCTGTTAGGGAGAGAGAGGTGAGTACGGGTGAGGGACGTACAGAACATGGCTGGTGGATTGGTCTGGTAGTTGATTAGATGGTGGTGAGGGTTGCGACGGGGCACAGGTTGCGGCGCGGATGCCGTTCTACCTAGGTATGTAAGTCCTGGTGTAAATTGAGCACGACGAGATAATAGCAAGTATGGTAAGTCCTAAGATCAAAAGCAAAATTATCGGCGAGAAGCTTGAGAGAAGCTAAGCTTATGTACGTCGAGCGCTCGTTGATGATGCTTCTACAGTTTCACGGCAATAAGCGACACGTCTCACCCAGGCACAACAATTAGGAATAGGAATATAACCACATTAAGATTTGTGCAACAAAGAAGCCACATCCACCCCCCCGTGATGATACCGATAGCAAAAGCAAGAAATCGGAGCTTTGTGGTTGACCTATGGCAAGCGTCGGAGTGCGGAGCTTCAGTCGACGCGATCGGGATCCGCGGGGAACCTGGGAAGCCTGATGGCCAAGCCCTGCAGCGCGTCCGCGAGCTATCACGCCGACCACGACCTTCATTCTGTTAGTCAGGCCACCGCTTTGACAAGTCATAAAACTCGCTTTGGATACCTCAATTGAAGAATCTTCATCTTCATCTACACATACGCAATGGATATTCTCACGCAAAAGACGCCTACGGCGCT